AAATTCAACAATAAATATAAATACAAAAATTTATTTAATTATTATTATATATTATTGATTATTAATATATTAATAATTAATAAATTTAATTATTTTCGAAAAAGGCAGAAAATTCCCTTCTAAATTTTTATATTTATTGACAGAATTAAAAAAAAATGTTTTTTAAGTTTGTGAAAAAATTTGTTTATTAATTTGAAATATAATAAATGTTTATTAATAATAAAACAGAAAATTTTGTTTAACATATAATTTCTAATTACTTTTTTCCACTGACAAAAACTGTTTGTTTAGAAAAGCTTGAAATTCCATTGAAACTGTTATTGAATTTAAATTTTTTATTTGTAAGATTTCAAAAAATATTTTTTTTTCTAAATGAAATAGAGAAAATTTGATAAATGAAATTTATTGTCAATAAAGCAGAAAATTTTGGTTAAAATATAATTTCCAATCATATTCTTGTTATAAAAAATATTAATAAATATTAATTATTTGTAATTAAAAAATATTTGCAAAAAAATAATTGCGTTAATTTCTCTCTAATTTTCACTAGAATTCAATTTAAAAATTCCACTGAATTGCTGGAATTATTCTAGTAAAATGGTACAAAATTTTTTTTTTGACTGTGTTCATAAAAAATTTATTCAAAAAAAAATAATTTCACAATAAATGAACAAAAATTTATCAAGAAAAAGCAGAAAAAGAAAATTCTTCAATGAATATACATTTATTTATAAACAAAAACGCCCCTTCAACAAAAATAAATTCTCTTTTTTTTGTGCACATGCAAAATTTCGCGAGAAGAATTTTATTTCTAAAACTAGAAATAGTTCAGCTGTCAATGTCAATTGAGGCAGTTTTGTAACAACGTGACTTCATCGACAAATGCATTGCGGTTACAAAAAAAAAAAAAGAAAAAAAAAGATAGAAAAAAAATTCCCAGAACATGCATTGAATTCTATTGAACCTTTAATTAACATTCTGAAACGTTGACACGCTCTTTCTTCCCATTCTCTAACCAGTTGTCTGAATTTATTTTAAAAACATATCGCTACATTTGTTACCGATTTATCGGAACTATCGAAAAAAAAGAAGAAAATAACGTGTGGTGTACCTTTTTCTATTCTTTTCTCTTCTTTTTTTTGTCATTTTATTTCCTTCCTTTTTACATCAAGAGAATAAAAATGTATAAAGCAGACATCACTATAGGGAAAAAATATTGTCCTCGAGGCAAACGGCGAAAAAAGACCAGAAAAATGCGGACCAAGAAAAAGTATCGACTTCACACATTTTGTGAGAGAAACTGACTTTTAGTGTCCATAATAATAATCAATCATTCGTTCCGACACTGACGATATATCAACGTTTATAATAATAATAATAATAATAATAATAATAATAATAATAATAATAATAATAATAATAATAATAATAATAATAATAATAATAATAATAGTAAAAATAATAATAACAAAAAATAATAATATTATTATTTAATATTAGGTTGAATTTATCACTTGATAAAATTATATTAATATATATAAGAAGTTATCAATCCTCCAAGTCAATCAATAAATTAAATCATAAAAAAATTTAAAAAATTAAATTACAAAAATAAAAAAAAAATAAAAAAAAATAAATTAAATTTAAATTAATTAAATCATATTATTATTATAACAATAGTAATAATAATAATAAATTATACTAACAATAAATAAGTAATGAAATAATAAACTAAAAATTTAAAAATTTAAAAACATTCTCTAAATTTGAATTAGTAAATTTTACTAATAATTAAAAATTTCTACTAATTTAGTGACTGACTATATAATTTTTTATACATTTAATTTCAAACTTTTTTCGTTTTCATAAAATATTTCGTAAAAGTAGAAAAAGAATATATTGTCAGCTTTAGATTTTCTCACTATAAGCACTGGAGATTTTTTTTTTTTGTTATTTTTATTTTCTTCTTTTTTTTAAATGATTTTTACCATTTTTATCGTTACGATGAAAACAAAAAACTCAGTGTATTTTCAGTGAGATTATTGTTCTCGCAGTTAATCCGCATATTGAAAGAGAGACTCTTCATATTTGAACTATATTTTTTTATTTCAACAAAAAAAGAATAAATTACAATACATAACGGAAAAATGATTACTACAAAAAGCATAAGAAAAAAAGATTTCTAAAAAATATGTAAAAAAAATTATTTTTAATAAAAAAATGTTTTTGAATATATATATAAAAAAAATATTTTTAAATGCAGAAAAAAACATTTTTTAAATGTACAATTTATTTCAATAAAATTTGACAATATATTTCTAAATAATTGTCAATATAATTTAATCTTTTCAAAATAATGTACGGGAATTCAACTATCTTTAAAACATTTTAATTACAATTTTTTCAAAATACGAATATTTTTCATAATTTTGAAATTAAATTACATTCAAAACTTGAATAATTTTTGTGAAATAAATATTTAAATACTTATTTATTTATCCACAGAAATTACAATTACAATATTCTAAATGATTACTGTGTAAAATCTTTTTCAAATTTAATAATTTCTAAAAAATTACAACTGTAATTCTTCCAAAATTCAATAATTTTTTTGTTGATGTTTTTTAATTAAAATTATTCAAAACTTGAATAATTTTTAAAGAAAAAAATTAATTAATTAATAAAAAAAATTAATTTACATATTTAAAAAAAAACGAAAAAATTGAATATTTTTATAGTTTTACAATTAAAATTTTCAAAGATTACAATTTAAAAATCTTTTTAAACTTAATTATGTCTAAAAATTCATAATATAACACTTCTAATATTTAATTATAAACTAAATTTTTAATTAAACATAAATTTTAAGTCAATTCTTTTTAGAAAGTTTTACGAAAATTCATTTATTTAAATATAAAAATAAATAATTTATTGAATAATTGAATATTTCTTAATATTGAAGTCTTATAAAGAATTTTATCAAAATTTCTTAAAATAATTTAATTCTTTCGAAGAATATTATAAATTTTTTTTAAAAAATTGCATTTTTCAAGGAATTTATTATTCTTACAAATATTTTTCGACGAATTTAATTAAAATTTTATTAAAAATAATTCAATTCTTAATATATATAGAATTTTAATAAAATTTTTAAAAATAATTAAATTTCTACGGAGAATTGCATTAAAATTTTCAAATAATAATTGAATTCCCAAGAAGAATTTTATAAAAATTATTTTAAATAATTGATTTTTTTCGAAAAAATTCAATGAAAATTGTATTTGAATTCCCAAGAAGAGTTTTATAAAAATTCTTTTAAATAATTGATTTTTTTTCGAAAAAATTCAATGAAAATTGTATTTGAAATAATTGAATTTCTGTAAAAATTATATTATTTATGAAAACAATTGAATATTTTCAAAGAATTGTATTAAGATTCTTTTAAATAATTGAATTCTTTTGAGAAATTTTATTAAATAATAGTAGATATTAAAAATAATTGAATTTCTGTGAAGATTTGATAAAAAAAAATTTGATAAAATTAATTGAATTCTTACGGAGAATTTTAATAACATTTTTAAAAATAATTGCTTTTTTCAAGAAATTTATTTAAAATTGTATAAAAAAAATTCAAATTCTGTGAAAAGTATTATTATTTATAAAAATAATTTATGTCTAGCAAAGAATAAAATTTTTTAAATAGTTGATTTTGTTCGAAAAATTTTATGAAAATTGTATTTTATGCCATTGAGTTCTTTGTTAAAATTTTATTAACTATAAAAATAATTAAATATGTGCGAAGAAGTTTCTTAAAATTATATTCAAAATAATTGAATTTATCCAAAGTATTTTATTATTTATGAAAATAATTAAATTCCAGCGAAGAATTTTATTATTTACTTGAATAATTGAATTCTTACACATTTTTTTCGACGAATTTAATTAAAATTTAATTTTTTTTTTAATTTGATTTTTATATATAGAATGCTAATAAAATTTTTTAAAATAATTGAATTCCTGCGAAGAATCGCATTAAAATTTTCAAATAATAATTGAATTTCCAAGAAGAATTTTCTAAAAATTCTTTTAAATAATTGATTTTTTTCGAAAAGAATCAATGAAAATTGTATTTTAAATAATTGAATTCCTGTAAATTTTTTTTTTATATTTATCAAAACAATTGAATATTTACGAAGAATTTTCTTAAGATTCTTTTAAATAATTGAATTCTTTTGGCAAATTTTATTAAATAATAGTAGATATTGAAGATAATTAAATGTCTGCGAAGATTTTCATTATTTGGGAAAATAATTGAATTTATACGAATAAGTTTCTTAAAATTTTTCAAAATAATTGAATCGTTTCAAAGAAATTTAAAAATTTTTTTTAAGAATAGTTTTTTATTTCAATTATTAGCTGATTTAAAACAGTGTAAATTCTAAAGAAAAAAAAAGAAAATAGTAGCAAATCGTAAAAAAGTAGTAAATAGTTGGTTTTAGATAAGTGTGAAGCCTGCTATTTTTTTCCTTCAAGAAGAGATCTTAATGATTTTTTTTTCTTCAAGAAAAAAGAATATTTTTTTGTATTTTAAAATCTTTACAAACAAAAAATATATTTTCTGTTTAAATGTTTTTTTATTTGGATGAAAATTTAAGGGGCAAAATATTTTTCGATTCCTTAGAAAAAAAGCAATTAATTATCGTCGTCGAGTTGAAAAAGAAAATGGAGTAAAAAGGTTTTTGGAGAGAGTTCGTGGTTCTTTGAAAGTGGCCACATGATGTGATTAGATTATGTTAGTCGAGGTGAGATGAAATTCATGTATAAAAGGAAAAGTGGGTCCAACAGAAGTGGACAAGGGAGGGAGAGAAAGAGTGAGTGAGAGAGAGAGAGAGAGAGAGAGAGAGAGAGAGAGAGAGAGAGAGAGAGAGAGAGAGAGAGAAGGAGAGGAGAGGAGAGATTTACTCGTGTTTCTCAATCTAACAACCAGATTAATGTTTCAGCTTGGGTTGGTGCTTTAAGTGCCGCTGTGTCACGTGGTTCGGCGCCTCTGGTTGTTGGTGCATGTCGTCGAGGAAGCACCAGACTCATAGCAGTGATTGGAGGACTCGTTCTAGCCTTGGCATCCCTTTTCACTTCATTCGCACTCCAAATGCATCAAGTTATATTAAGGTGAATTCAAAACTCATTCTATTTGTTAATAAAAAAAATTCGATGTAAAAAATAATTCACTAACTTTCACTATTTTCGATGTGAAGCAAGAGTCAGAATTTTCCCCCCCATTTCTGCTGTTTGGCAATTTTTGCCATTTCCGGACGAGTAAATTTTACTATTTCCGCAGGTTTGCCACAATTTAGGGGAAAATTTGAAAAAAAGAGAGAAAAATTGTAAAAGTCGAGGAAGTTTGGAAAAAATGAAGATTTAAACAATTTCTATAAAAATAGTTTTACCAGGGTTGCCACAGGTCAGGGAAGTCGGGGAATTCAGGTAAAAGTCAGGCAAAGTAAAATTGGTCAGGGAAGTCAGGATTTTTATTTAAGTAACTGGAAAAAATTGAATTTTGGAGAAGTTACAAATGATTGCAGAAACTCAATTATTCTCAAATGTAATAAAATTCTTCGCAGAAATTCAATTATGTTCAAAAATTAAAAAAAATTCAATTATCTTTAAAATAATAAAATTCTTTTCCAAATTTCAATTATTTCAAAAATTTTAATAGAATTCTTTGCAAAATTTCAATAATTATCAAAAAATTTTTCTCAATTCATTGATTTTCAATATCTACTTTTCATAAAATTAACCAAAAGAATTCAATTATTTAAAAATAATTTTAATAAAATTGTACGCAAACATTTAATTATTTTCATAAATAATAAAAATTTCACAGCTATTCAATTATTTACAAATTTTTTTATAAGTTTCTTCTCAATAATTCAATTATTTTCATAAATAATAAAACTCATCGCAGAATTTCAATTATTTTTATTACAATTTTAATCTTTTTTCTCGAAAAATGAAATTATTCTGAAAAACGTTATTGAAATTTGTCAAAAGAATTTTAATTACCTATTTAAAAATTTTGTTGATAAAATTCTTTAAATGAGAGTTCAATTTTAAAAAAACATTCAATTCTTCAATAAATAATTTACTTTTCTATGTAAATAATTGAATTCTCGTAGAATTTACTAATAAAAATTGATTTAAAAATAAATTTTAGTTAAAATTTTAGAAAATAATTGAATATGAAAATAATTTTGAAGAAATTACAATAACAATATTCTTATAATATAAAATAATTATTTTATTTTAGAATTAAACAAATTTGTAAATAAATGTAACAGAACATTTTTTTGAGTAAAATCTTTTTCTTTCTTTTCTAAAATTTCAAAAATTTTCATTTTCAATTAAAATTTGTAATTGACGAATAATATAATTTATAAACATTTTTTCCTTTATTTTTAAAAAACTTCGGAATTTATTAAAACAATTGTAATTAAGAAATAGAAATGATGTAAAGTATTTCCTTATGAAAATTGAAAATTTTCTACAAAAATATTAAGAAACGGGAATAATTCAAAATCTTCTAAAATTAGTTAAATTTGTCAATTTATATTTAATTAATTATTAAAAATAATGAATTTACAGAAGAATTTTAGTTAAAAACACTAAAAAAATTTTATTTTGGAGAAGTTACAAATGATTGCAGAAACTCAATTATTTTCAAAAGTAATAAAATTCTTCGCAGAAATTCAATTATGTTCAAAAATTAAAAAAAATTCTCATAAAAATTCAATTATCTTTAAAATAATAAAATTCTTCTCCAAATTTCAATTATTTCAAAAATTTTAATAGAATTCTTTGCAAAATTTCAATTATTTTCAAAAAAATTTTCTCAATTCAATGATTTTCAATATCTACTATTTTCATAAAATTAACCAAAAGAATTCAATTATTTAAAAAAAATTTTTTGATAAAATTCTAAGCAAACTTCGCAATAATTCAATTATTTTCATAAATAATAACATTTTTTACAAAAATTCAATTATTTTCATGAATAATAAAATTCATCACGGAATTTCAATTATTTTTAATACAATTTTAATTGAATTCCTCAAAAAATTTAATTATTCTTGAAAATTTTATTAAATTTTTTCGAAAAAATTCAAATTTGTTGATAAAATTCTTTATGATAATTTAGTTTTGAAAAACATTCATTTATTGAATAAATTATTTATTTTTGTATTTAAATAATAAAAATTCTTGTAGAATTTTCCAATAAAAATTGATTTGAAAATGAATATTAGTTAAAATTTTAGATTATAATTAAATATTAAAAGCATTATAGCATAATTTTTTAAAAATAATAGATAATTGAATTCTTTCGAAAAATTTTAATAAAATTTTGGAAAATAATTACATTTTTCTAGGAATTTACTTTAAATTGTATTTTAAATAATTGAAATCTTCAGAAAAATTTTATAATTTATGAAAATAATGGAATTATTACAACGAATTTTATCAATTTTTTTAAAAATAATTGAATTCATGTGAAAAATTTTATAACTTGTAAAAATAATTGAATTTATGCAACGAATTTTATTACATTTTATTTAAATAATTAAATTCTTTTGAAAACTTTTATTAAAATTGTAAATTTTGAAAATTTTTGAATTTCAGCGAAGAATTTCATTATTTGTGAAATGTACCTATCTAATTTAATTCTTGCAAAAAATTTTTGAAGATAATTTCATTTTTCGAGAAATTTATTTAAAATTGCATTAAAAATAATTGAAACCCCGTGAAGAATTTTATTATTTATGAAAATAATTTAATTCTTGCAACGAATTTTATTAGAATTTTTGTAAATAATTTTATTTTTTTTTTTGAAAAATTTCATGAAATTAAAAATTTTTGTAAAACATGAAGATATCAATCACTCCGAGTCGAAGACTCGGAGTAATATATGTTTTTTAATTTTAAAAATGTTTGAATTTGAATGTTTTGAAGAATTTTAATTCCTATGGAAAAATAATAATTAAATACTTATTTAAAAATTTAGTTATTGATGTTTGCGAAATTCGAATAATTTTACAATTTAAGAAATTCGTAGGTAAATATAATAGAATGTTTTTTTTAAGTAGGTATCTAATAATTTTTAGAGTGAATCAGAATATTCTTTATGTTCAGGGAAAAAGTGAAAATTTTGTCTGGAAATCAGGGAAAAGTCAGGGAAAAATAAAATCAAATATTTGTGGCAACCCTGTTTACGAATTATAAATTATAAAAATTTATAAAATTTTTCCTTCTATACAGTTTCCATGGTGTAAGGAGAAAAGGCAGAGAACTTTATTTCTTATTTAAGACTTAAGAATTTGACGCTCGCACTTTTAAACTCAAACAGTTGAACCGCACACTAACATTTATCCCAAGCGCCATTATTTTCAGAAATTTTTTTTTCCTTCCACCCAACCAGCTCCTTAAAAGTTAAAATGTTCGACTCTGGCATTTCTCTTAAATTCTTTTGCTACTATTTTTTTCTCTTTTTCTTCCGAAAAACACTTTTTTTTCAACCGTGAAAAATGTTTTACCCTTTTCTAAACGCGTTATTCGTTCCCACAATGGTACTATTGTATACATCATTAGAGGAATTCCTTTTTGCGAAAAGAGAAAAATAGCTGTGCTTTCTCTACTTGAGAATAGTTTATATTGGTGCTGGTATTGCACTATTTCGACTCTGTCATACAGTAAGCGTCCAATTATGGTGATAAATATTGTCAAGTTTATATATATTTGTGACTATACACTCGGAGGAAAATTTACTTCAAGCAAATAAATTTTGGTTGAAAAAAAACAAATATAAATAATTAATAAATAAATATACAAATAAATTAATTATTATTGGTATAATATGTTTGTATTTTAAGTAGTGTATATCAATTTAATCACCAGATGAAAATTTACTTTGAATAATATTTTTTGGATGAAAAATTTTCTCAAACAATTAAGTAGTAAAAATAATTTTTATTGATAACAAACACATTGAAAACAAAATTTATTTAAATATACATAATTCATTAACTTATTAACAGGGCTCGAGCCGCAGTGAAAGTATTTAAAAATACGGACTTTACGGACCAAAAATGAAAAATTACGGACCAATTTTTCTTTAAATCAATTAATTTTCGAAAAAGTTCTTCGACAATTTTCAAAATCCATTTATTTACAATATATTCAATTTTACAAATTTTAATTATTCGTAAATTCTTTATTTAAATATATATTAGAAAATAAAAACTTCAAATAATATAAAAAAAATTCAATTAGGAATTTTTTTTAAAAAATTAATTTTAGAACTCAATTATTTCTAAAAATTCACGCTATATTGCTTTTAATATTCAATTGTTATCTAAAATTCTAACTGAAATTAATTTTTAAATCAATTTTATTAGAAAATTCTACTAGAATTCGATTATTTAAATACAAAAATAAACAATTTATTGAACAATTGAATGTTTCTTAATATTCAATTCTCATAAAGAATTTTATCAACATATTTTTAAATAATTAAATTCTTTCGAAGATTTTTAATAAAATTTTTAAGAACTACTTTATTCGAGAAATTCGATTAAAATTGTATTAAAAATAATTGAAATTCTGCATTAAGTTTTATTATTTATGAAAATAATTGAATTCCTAAAAAGAATTTTACTATTTTCGAACATAATTAAATTTCTGCAAAGGATTTTATTACTTTTAAAAATAATTGAATTTCTGCAATAATTTGTAACTTCTCCAAAATTAAATTTTTTTTTAGGGTAAGTGCGTCAATTGCTGCGCACAAATACATTTGTTCAGGGCACAAATAATTTTGAAATTTTTTTTAAAAATTACTTAACGATGTAAGTTTTAAAATAGATATAGGAAGTATATACCAAAACTTAATATTTATGTATTTTATTTTAATTAAAAGTTGACGTGTTCAAGGTTTTATTTATTTTCATTGCTAACTTTGCTAGCGGTGCAAAAATACCTACATAAAAAAGGCTTTATTATTGTTTTTAGACTTAAAGTGGTTATTATTATGATGATTTTAGATAAAGAAAACCTTGTTTTAAAAGAAAAATTAAACTTTACTTTATTTTTGTCTGTTATTATATTTTATTTTTAAGAGT